ATATATACATTTAGATGTGTTTAGGATAGATTAATATTCTTGCTTAAAAACGAGATATTGTTTATATAATGGATTAAATGGAAGAAGTAAATAAGATCTTGATAAAATTAAGAAAGTAGAACATACGTGGAAGGGATATTTGAATTAAAAATGTTTTAATTAAAGTTAATTTGATTATGGTATTGTAAACTAATGAAGCTTAAAAACAGGTTCAGGTTGAATAAATTTAAGCTAGAATTGGATATTTTAAATATACTATGCTATTTGAGGGAAAAAGAGAGGGAATACTTGATGTGTTGATTGTATTATGTATATATGTTTTGTTTTAAGATGTTTGATTACCCCAGCACCACGGTGTGTCCTGAATATGTTGTTTTAAGAAACTAAAAAACCCCAGTCCTGGTTTTTATATTTCCAATTGGTTGAGACATCTCTCAACCATATAGATCAAAAATTGGGTTTAACTGTAGAAGATGTGAACTTGATAAAACAGATTAAAGATCAAAGTAGAGCCCATATTAGGAGAATATATAATGTTTTGATAGAACTTGATTCGGAAACAGAATTACAATTTCTAACATACTAATTTACCCGAGTTTTATAAGTTCTTGGTTATTTCAATCTTTGAACCCTTTATTAAACCCATTCTTTACAGTTCAAGTGGGTTCGTGTCTTAGATTCCCTTTTAAAAATATTTTACAAAATATCTACCGTAAACCTAGGAGTTTTTAACAGAACGTACATAGGCTTAAACGTTGGTTTTACTTCGAGATGTGATTGTAAGGATGCTACTTATTATCATATTTGGTGGACATGTAGGGATGTTAAAGCCTTTTGGATTAAGATTTGGTGGAATATTCAACAGATCTTTAAGAAAAAGATAAAATTTACACCGCAGTTATTTTTATTGGGTATTATGGACAATTTGGATCAAAAAGAAATGAAATTGATGTTGTACTGTATAACAGCAGCAAGGACATTAGTTGCTCAAAATTGGGAAAAAAAGACGTTACCAACTATGGATGATTGGAGACAGAAGGTATCGTATTTTGCAGAGATGGCAAAAATATCCGCGTACCTGAAGGATCATTCTCAGGAGAAATTTATCTCAATGTGCAGAAGATGGATAGATTATATTCAGAGAAAGTATGAATTGAATAATTATCATGTAGCTTTTGATTAAAAATTTTAAACAAAAATATGTACAACGAATATTGACATATTTAAAAAAATTTGTATGTATTTTAACATTGGTTTAGAGTCACAGTAAGTTTATACTAGTGTGTAGTAATAATGAGTAGTTTTGAATAGAATTGGATTATTGTGCGTTTATTTCCTGGATTAGCTTTGGGAAGTCCTGGGGGGGGAGGGGGGAAAGGGATAGGTTTGTATTGTAGATTTATATGTATATGTATATATATGTATGATTTTTTAAGGAGGTGTCTGGTGGGTACCCGTACATTTGGTTTTTCTTCCCTAAATGTAGAACCTTACATTTTTCACCATTGAATTTCATTTTGTTAGATAGCGCTCAGCGTTCAAGTCTGTCCAGATCCTCCTGTATCTTAAGCCTGTCTTCTGGAGTGTTGGCTATTCCTGCCAGCTTGGTGTCGTCTGCAAATTTGATGAGTTTCCCATCTATCCCCTCGTCCAAATCGTTGATGAATATGTTGAAGAGCACTGGGCCCAGAACAGAACCCCCACCCCACTACACACTTCCCTCCATGTAGATGTGGTTCCATTGAAGACCACACGCTGAGTACAGCCGGTCAGCCAGCTACAAATTCATCTGGTGGTGATGCTGTCTAACCACGTTCAATTCTAGTTCCATGACACAAAAAACAGTATGAAGAGCAACAAAGAAGATAAGCAGTCTGGAGGCTAAACAATACTATGAACATTTAAAGGAAATATGTGGAGCCAATCAAAGAGAAGGATTAGGGGTGACATGATAGTGGTCTCCCAGTACTTGAGGGACAGTCAAAGAGTGGGTCGACTTTTTCTCCAAAGCACCAGAGGGCAGGACAAGAAGCAATGGGTAAAAACTCACTAAAGAGAGATCCAACCTGGAACTAAGAAGAAATTACCTGACAATGAGAACAATTAATCAATGGAACAGCTTGCTTCCCGAAGTTGTGAGTGCTCCATCACTGGAGGTTTTCGAGAAAAGATTGGACATGATACCTGTTTTTCAGTAATTCAGAGGCTCTCACAAAGAAGAGGGGGTTGACTTATTGTCCAATGTTTCCTCAGAACAGTGAGAAGGGGAGGTACAATGAAATAAAATTAATCTGTGTGTTTTCATATGAATGACCTACTGTTTGGTCTCTTATATGCATTAACAATGATTATGCATGCCCTTATGCTGTTGGACTAGCACAAGATGCTCTACATGGGATGCCTTCTAGAAGCTTCTGTTGGTCCCCCCAAAAAGTGCTGGGTTATTGACTGCTACTTGTCAACAAGAGCAATGGTGCAATATGGCTGGCAGATGCAACTCAAAGTGCTGACTTTGTCCTAAAAAGCCATCTTGGCATAAAGGCATTTTCACACTTGCCTCATCCAGTCAGAATTGATCCATTTGATATATCCTAGGAGCAATTCTTGCTCCTCCACTTTCTGTAATTGGACTGAATAGGGTTCATAAGAGATGATTTTCAATGGTCATCCTTTTGCTATGAACAGTTTCCTTTTAGAAATCAAACTTGCTCCATGTGACTGGCTTTCTAAAATTTATTACAAACAAAATTACAGGTAGTCCTTGATTTATGACCACAACTGAGTCCAGAATTTCAATTGTTAAATAAGACACATGATTTCTTTGCTCAATAATCCTAGCTCTCCCAGTGGCAGTTATTAAGCAATCATACAGGTAATTAAGCAGGGCATGGGGGTGCCTTGAGGGTGTGGTGAAGGCTGTCAGAGGCCTGTGTGAGTTGGAGAAGTGATGTATAGCCAGCAGCAGCACTGAGGCCAGGCCTGAAGCAGATGCCTGGGGCCTTCAGCAGTCTCAGGCAGTTGCCACCACTTCAAGCCTCTATATCAGCCCTTGAGTCATCACTGCCATTCAACAATGCCATTCTCCAAGGTGTGTGAGCCTTGGGGAGCAGCAATATTGCCCCTGCTGCCCAGCACTCCCAAAGATCTTCCGTATTCTGCTTACCTTCATGCATTTTTCTCATGCTGTTGAGAAGCTCACATGGCCCATCCAAGACAGCTCCCTTTACACCAAACCCTTCTTTTCTGAGCCTATTCATGTATCACTTTGGAAGCCTCTGGAAGCCTTCAGAAGCCCGTCTGTGAGGGACTTCCAAATTTGTGTGGGACTTCTGGAGAGTTTTGAAGTCAAGTGGGACTTCCTGAAGCTTCTGAAGAATGGAGCCTGTTTGCACATGACTTCAGAAGATCCACGAATTCAGAAGCCTCTGGAAGCCCTGCATGAATAGGTTCTGTTCTTTGGAAGCCTCTGGAAGCCCTGTATGAGTTCAGAAGCCTCTGAAAGCTCAAGAAAAGAATCTATTTGTGTGGCTTCTAGAGGCTTCTAAGGTCATGCAGGGCTTCCCAGATGCTTCTGAAGTCAAATAGGGCTTCCAGAAGTTTCCAAATAATGGGCCCTGTTCATGCAGGGCTTATGGAGGTTTCCAAAATCACATTGGAAACGTGTGGCTGTGTCGTGTGGCTCTGAGAGCTGCCTCAGATAGGTCATTCAGGCTACTCAGCAGCATGAGAAAAACACATGAAGGTGATCAAAAGACAAACCTCAGGAGTACTGGGCAGTGAGGGCAATTGTGCCATTCACCAAAGCATGCACACCTTGGGAAATATAGTGAAGTGGCGTTTTTGAGCAGTAGCAATGCTATGGCTGATAAAGAGGGCTGCCTAGTGCTGCTATGCAGGGCAGCCTAGATCTGGAGGAGATAGGCAGATGGAGAATTGGAGCACCCCTGTAGTCGTAAGTGCCGGAATTTTTATCACGTGACCATGACAATGCAACAACAGCTGTAACATCATTCAGCACTGTTGTAATTTCAAACAGTTGCTGAAAGGTCATTAAATAAATACAAGTATTGTTTCTAATGAAGACCAATTAACATTGTTCTATTATTTTTGCTGCTTGAATATTTTCTGAAATTTATTATTTTCTTTTACTGTGGGCATTTATTATATTTTTATAATAATTTTAAACTATTTTATTCTTAATGTTAGTGTTTTATTTGTATTATGTTCTTGTGAAATATGTCAACCAGCTGATTACAATGGATACAAATTGCATAAATGAAATTAATCAAACTTTTTGGATGGGTATTTGTACATTTATATATTACCTCTCTGCAAATTTATTGTGGGACATTGACTCAGAAATCAATTCACTTTCTTCAGAATTTGAACATTTTGAAGATGACATAACTTTCATTTGAAAAAAAAAAATTGAAATTTGAAAATAATCATCTCATTGAACTACTCCCAGCCAATCTAACCAATCCTGAGAATTCTGGGAATTAGTCCAAACATCAGGTGGGCCCAGAGTAGAGAAGACTGCAGTAGGAAGCTTTCTACTGCAGTTGAAATATACTAATGGTACAGCACAATAGAAATAAGCCATGTAATATGGAACAAATGTTTAGTACCACAACAGAGCTGGTGACATATTTCTATTATATAGCACTGTAAATTGATTCCCCCTTGGGGGCTATGATTATCCCCCTTGAGTTCTACTATGATGTGGCTACCTTTTTAATTATTAATCTGCTTCATTTTCCAAAAGAACAGGAGATAATGCCAGGATGACCAAATACAATCATTTCTGAAATTTCCAAATTTGCACTGAGATTTCATATTCAGACATTGATGATATTGCCTAGTTTGGTAAAGAAACATCTGCAAGAAAACAAGCAAACGTAGAGAGCACTAAGGACCGCTCATTTAAACCGAGCTACAAATATTCTCTTCCATATTCTTCTAACAGTCATCAATTCATATCTTCTATATAGTATTCTTACCCAGGTTTCCTTGCTCAATGGTCAAGACCACTTCATCCATCAGCAAAGCACGGAAGTCTAGATCCTCTTCACAACATTTGGCTTTAAGTGCCCTTAGAATTTCCTGCTGAGGATAATCTTCTCGGATACGTCGATCTGTTAAAAACCAGAGCCTGGGAACAACAGAGCTACACATCTTGAAGTAGTTCTGCAGACTTTAGGTATCCTTTGGAAGTAATATCTAAAAAATATAAGTAAGAAACTTAGCTCACACTTACATATAAACCATTTCAAATCACAATTCATTTTCTTGTAAAATTTGGTAGAAGCTAATGCTCCACCTATTTCTTGCCCAAATTGGAACTGAGATGAAAGGACAGAGAAAAGATAGTTTTAACTATAAAATGATGGAAACCATTTATTATTTAAGTATTTTTATTTTTTGGTACTGTTTCACTGAAATCATAATAACAGGATTACCTGTTGAAGAAAATTTAAGAAATAAGGAACAACAAAAGTACTTGAATCTTTCAGGAAAATTATTATTGAGATTCAAGAATGACATCTCTGCCCATCCAAAACAATTCCTTTTGGAGAAGTAATATCAGCAGATCTGTGGTCCTAGGGTGCATGGTTCAGCCCATATCTTGATTATGCTGATTGAATTGTGTGGTTTTATCTTGGCTCCTATCTTTATTATTTATTGTTTTGCTATATTTTTATGTATTTATTTCTTATTAGTGCCCCAAGCCATATGTTTTGAGATAGAGGATTTCCAAGGGAGATACAGTAAGGGCAAACCGAAGCAGCTCTGTAATAGCGGAAATGACCAAAAAAGACCAAGAAACTGGTGAGTGGACTGGCTCCTTGGAACTTTTCTGGATTAGGATGAGACAGCACCCATATGTTTTCCAGATGGCTGCTTCATGGGAGGAAACCACAGGACAGTGGTTTTCTGTGGGTCTGAGTGCTGGGAAATGAAGGGATCAGCATTCTTGTTTGTAACACTGGCAGATTTTTTTTAAAGATACTAATTTCACAAACCTCATTTTCTAATCACTTTTGAAAATTGTTCAATACTTTATAGATTTTTTTTGGATTAATTTGTCTAACAAGAGGATATTGAATGTTGAGGGATGGGACTTGTACTTTGGGTGGCACGCTTACCTTTTTATGCAGAAAAAGATTGATAAAACTTTTAGAAGTCACATAATAAGGGCTGCACTGTTAAGAGTTTGGCAAAAGTACTTTCTTAAGTTTGATGTTAAACTTCCAATTTGGGTGATACCATCA